ATATATATATATATATATATAAATATATATATATATATATATATATATATATATATATATATATATATATATATATATATATATATATATATATATATATATATATATATATATATATATATATATATATATATTGCAAAATTTACCACCTTTGAATGGCTTTGCTTGATCAAGAATATTCCATTTTAGTATTTTAGTATTGGTTCTAAAGCTTTTTTTTTTACATTCCCACACAAATTAAGAAAGTTCAGTGGAGTTGTCCTCACTTTCGAAAGGTTTTCTCAGTAAGCCCAATGTATTAATATCATTCTTCTTCTTAGTGAGTTTTTATGTTGCAAATATAAATAAGGTTTTTTATAAGGCATTTTCCATTGAGTTGATGAATTTGAAAAGATGGTTTGTCAACAATTGCATAATTGGTTGGCATTTTCACGAGAATTAAATAGTATATTTTTATTATGAGAAGTAATAATACTAATGATATTTGGATGACAGCTATAACTAATCTTTAAGTTTTTCCCGTTAAAAAGTGAAATTAGGGAAACATTTATGAATTTTATTCAAAAATGTTTTTGCTAAGTTCTGACATTGTGCAAATAATGTGGCTTAAACCAGATGTTTTTTTTTGTTGAGAGTTTGTATTAGATTTCTGGATATTTGGAAAAAAATTGATCTTATCTATGAATCCACAAGAATTGAGAGCGTTATTATAAAATGTATAGAAAAAGTTGTTTCTGAAACGGTTTTAAAATTTTAGTTACAACAATCATTTTTTTTTAATATTAATATTTATTTTAGGTGGTTTTTGTGATTTTTTTTTACTTGTTTTTTTTAGTTGTTTTAAAAGTAGTAAACAAATTAACATTTAATTTAACATTTTTTATCATTTCAAAGTTAGACTATTTGAATCAGGGAGTTTTACTTGGGGCCCAGTCAAATTTCTATAGGTTATTCAAAGTTTATTTAATATAACATTTTAATTTATTTTTTTTTCTTGCAGACCTTTATATTTACTGTACGTTCAAGCTAAAGCTTACAGAGATACATGTGGTACTTTTTTTTTTAATTTAATTTAAAAATTAAGTTTCTAAATATATTTCATCATAAATAATTTATGTTTTGAATGTTGTTTATAATCTCGTTATCTGTTTGATTATGTTTGTAACCTCAAATTTAATTTATTGCTAGATAAATCTTTTTAATTTCTAGATAAAGTAATGCAAGTTGAAATAGAAGGTGATATAAATGAAGCTAAAAATGATCTTCAAACAGAAACTGTAATTATAGGTTTGTAACTACAAATTTATCAATAATTTATTTATAATTTTATAAATTATAAGAGGTTTTTTTAAATTCTAAAAAATTTTACTTATCGGTCTGGTGAATTTAAAACATAATATTTATTGTTTTGTTTTTAGATGAGAGTGATGATTCTGATTCGGAAAATGTTGAATCCTTTGAAACTAACGGCGAAAGTCACAGAGTATGCTTCAGTGTTGTTTTTGTTAAAAGTTATAGCTGCTTTTTACTATTTTGTTTTAAGGTTTTTATTTCTTTAACAATAAAAATTGAAATTTGTTCAAGAATCGAAAAAAGGAAGGCACACTCAATCGTTTAGAAGAAAAGCGAAACAAGTTGTTAACTCCCCATCCTCTTTATGTGCGAATAAAATGGAAAAAAAAAGGTAACCAGTTATTTTTTAATTTTTTAGGGAAAGGTACATCTTATTTTGCTTAAGAAATGTAAGAAATGTATGATGATCTTTTTTTTTAGACACGTATGAGTTAGATATGCTGTTTAAATATTTGCCTCAATTGAATGTGAGTTGTATCCAAGTAAATTTAAATATTGAAGGTTCAACATCTTTGTAAGTGGAATTATGCATTAGTTTCATCTTTTTTATTTAAATTTGATTAAGATTTTTCCAAAAATGTTTTAACTTGATTTCTCGTAGTCCTCTATTATCATCTGACGTCATTTTGAGAGACCTTTTAGCCTCAGATTCAGGCAGTGAACTACCAAGTGTTGCAAGCAAGTATCAATTAGAATGCTTAGGTTCAGAATCTTTTGATCCTTATATAAAATTGGTTGGTTATCCATATTTGTGGGTCCAGTGGATCTGTGGATTAAATAATTTACCAAACAAAAAACTTCAAAATACAATGACCGATTCTGCAATAAATATGAAGCATTTCCAAACAGTAATCAAACATATACGAAAAAGAATAAAAGGAAGACTGTCGTTACAAAGGCAGTTACATCTGCTTGGTAAGTTAGTTTTCAGTTCATACTTTTTGTTTCTAACGAATTGTTTTTTAGCATATTGTGCATAAACGTTTGATTTGCTTGAATGATTTTCAGTTTAATTTAAATTTTAACTTGATACGATGTTTTGTGTGGCTCAATGGTCTAGCGGTATGATTCTCGCTTTGGGTGCGAGAGGCCCCGGGTTCGAATCCCGGTTGAGCCCGTTTTTTAAACTTTTCATCAAGTATGTATAACCTGTTTTAAAGTCGCGTATGCGCAAGATTTTTTTCGCCTTGTAGCTTTTGTGTCAATAAAAATTCATTCCAAAACTCTCTGGCTATTAGTAGGAAGTATATATTTTGAGAGTAAAAAGTAGCCCGAAAAACTCTGTTAACTTTAAATCAGTTTTTATACATATTTTAGAAAGCCTCCAGCTTCCTGATTTAAACAGTCCTTGTAAATCGTTCAGTGTATTAACAAGTTGGAAAGAGCTTACATTAGAGGAGTTTATGGTAGATAAAAAATTTTAAAATATGACATATTAAAAAGAAAGAAGATTACACGTATTTTGAAAACTAAAAATTAAAAAAAAAATTATTTCGTATGGAAATCTGCTTTTAGAGTTACGAAAAGGGAAGGGCGTTGTTTGCAATGGAAATCGTCCCGCGTGATTCTATGTACTACTCTGCTACAGTTACTCGAGAAGGTGATCATTTAGATTCATTTAATTTATCCTTTTTTTGAATTAATGTATTTTCTTTCTATTAATTTTTTTTTTATATATATATATAGAAAACTTAGATGTTTTAGTGGCTATACACCCAAACTATCCTCAAGAACCGCCAGTTTTTTTACTAAGTATACAAACTGCTTGTATTGAAAAGCGAAATAGCTTAAGAGTATGTACTTTATTAACAAACTATTAATTATTTCATTTGCTAATTGAAAGTGTTAATGTTATATTAGTTTTAAATTAAGATTAAAATAGCTAGTAATATTGTAAATTTATAAAATTTACAAGACAATTTTTAGGTTAAAATATAGATACATCGAGAAATAAGTTTTATTAACTTCATTTAATGGAAAGAAGTTTCAAAACTTAATTAATTTAATGGAAAAATTTCAAAATTTAACGTGCATTCTAATTTTTTTATTTTAGAATTTAGAACGTGAAATAAATGCTTTTACAGAAGAATTAGTCCTTAAGTGCTCATCAGATATGCTTCTTTCATCTATGCTTCATAAGTTGGCGGTTTGTTAATTTTTATTAAAATCATTCATTTAAAAACGAGTTATTTATTCGAATCTTCATTCACGAACCTTCAATCGCTTGTTACGTTAAATTATTTTATATTTTTATAAAAAAATTACTTTATTATGATTTAGGTATGTTTTGATATATTTGTCGAGACAGGGGAAAAGATTTCTAGTAAAGATCGACTTTATATAAGAAAATTAAGGTATTTATTTGTAGTATATTCAAAAAAAAAGAGCTTATCTAACTTCTTATATATATATATATATATATATATATATATATATATATATATATATATATATATATATATATATATATATATATATATATATATATAATTTTATACATACATGTTTATATATATATATATATATATATATATATATATATATATATATATATATATATATATATATATATATATATATATATATATATATAATTTTATACATACATGTTTTATATTGAATTTCAGAGGACGCGATCGTAATCGACCTTATCGTTATCAAAATGAAGGATATTTTATACAACGTTAATAAAGAATGAAACGTTAAAATTTTGTTATGAATTAATTTAAAACAGTGTCGGAATAAGAAATGTTGTAGAACTTTGAATATCTTGAAATTGTGAGTCGGATAGCAAAGAGAAATTTGACTTCTGCGAAACTACGTTTTAAAAAGATAGTGAGCCTCTTATAATCTGTCGTAGTCATCGTCTAACAACCGGTTGGAATCAACAAAATTACTATTTCAACCTTCCGAAATGAGTTTTGGGTCAAAAAGTTAAAAAAATCAAAGCTTTGAATATTAAGATACTAGAAATTTCTAAAATTTTTTAAATAAAATCATTTTGCAATTTTTATCTCTATTGTGTAAATAAATAACAGTTAAAGTCATTCAAAACATTAAAAAGTAAATCTAAAATTGTTTGTAAAACAGTGTAGTTCCATAAAATCTAATACAAAGTGACTAATGTCTTTTTTTTATGTAGTAGAGTCTTTTAAAAAATAAAATCTTAATTTAATTAGCTTTCCGTTGTTCTCTCCTTTCTAAATAGGAAGAGTTGGTTACCTTAGTCTAGTGTGCTTGATCATGGGCGTTTATTGCCTAATTGAACAATACCAAGTATTGTTTAATTAGGCAATAAACCTAATTTATAATAAAATTTTAGTAAATTTTTTTTTTTTTTTTTGTTAAAAAAATAGAGTTTTCAAATTTAACGTGAGAAATTTTTAAAAATAATTCTTATTCAGTAAACACTATATATACTTTGTAGAGGTGACCGGATATAGCATTTTACGTATCCGGCCGGATACGGATATGCCGTATTTAAAATTTCACATCCGGCCGGATATATTGAAAATTAGGATAGGATTTAGTTTTGATGTTTGTTTTTAGTCAAATTGGGAAAGTGCAAAATAGTGTGTAAATCCACACACACACAAAAAAATAAATTGTATTACATTTGGCATGTCTGTCTGCATAATTGGATTATCTGTTTTTATTGTCGTTTGAATATTTATTAACAATTAATTACGTAGCAATAACTTTAAAATTAGGTTGCTATCTAAATTTCCAATCTATGTATTATTACTTTAATTTTTTTGTTATGTTTTTTTATTGTTTTCTTTAAAATGTAACAATGCATTTGGAATCTAACAATGTTTACATTGAAAGTTAACAATGCAATATTAATTTCAATGTAGTATTTATACACTGTATAGATATCAAAATTACCATCTGTATAATACAGATAAATATCTTGGTATCAAATGTATGTGTATAATTATTATACACATACATTTGATACCAAGATATTTATTAAATATTTAACTATTATACTAAAATAGTTAAATATTTAATGTCAATTGTGAACACGTTTAGTTTTATATTTCAGACAAACATAATAATGGAGAGCTTTATCTGGTCATTGTATAAAATAAATGATGCAAGTGATGTGTATGCAAACTGTAATATCTGTAAAAAAATGATTAAACGTGGAACTATGGAGGCTGAGCAAAAATGTTTTAGTACAACACCTCTGCATAACCACATCAAAATAAATCATCCAAAAGAATATCATATAGAACGAAATAAAAATGAACAGAAAAGAAAAGCTCAGGCTGTCAATAAAATCACACCAGAATTTTTTTCAACTAGTACTACAATAAAAAAAAGAGACTGTTTTGGAAACTTCTAAACAAACTTCAATAGATGAATATTTAAAGTCACAAAAGGTATGGAGCATTAATGACTCTAGGTCGCAAACTATTCATCGTAAAATTGGGTTGATGATGGCCTTAGACAACCAGCCATTTACTTTAGTTGAAGATATAGGTTTTAATAACTTAATGAACCATTTAGAACCCAGATATTGCATGTCAAGTAGAAAATTTTATTCTAAAACAATAATACCTCAACTTTACATGGAGTTAAATAATAAAATTTCTTATAAATTAATAAAAACAGATTACATAGGCTTTTCTTCAGATATATGGACATGCTCAATTTCTCATAAATCATTTGTTTCATTGTCTAGCCACTCCATCGATAAAGATTTTAACAGATTTGATGTGGTATTACATGCTTCTCATTTTCCTGAGAGCCATACTGGAATAAACATATCCAAAAAGTTAGAAAGTATGTGGGATAGCTGGAAAATTCAAGCTGAAAGACGACATATTCTTGTAAGAGATGGTGCAAGCAACATGATAAGTGGGAGTAATTTAGCTGAAATTCCCGCAATCCATTGTACTATTCATTTACTTCAATTAGTTGTTTCAGATACAACAAGTGAAAATATTGTAATTGATGTTCTTTCAAAATGTCGTCGACTTGTAACTCATTTTAACCATTCATCTCTAGCATGTAACAACTTTAAACAAATTCAGCTGCAACAAAATCTCGACCCTCTTTGTCTTGTTCAAGATGTCCCAACAAGATGGAACAGCACTTATCTTATGCTTGATAGATTAAACAAGTTAAAAATTCCAGTTCAACTATACTTAGCAGAAAGTTCTGATTTAATGCCCTTTTCTACATTAGAATGGACATTAATATTAAACATTATTAAACTGTTAAAGCCTTTTTTCCAATTAACTCAGGAAATGAGTTCAGAAATAACAACTTTGTCTTCTGTAATTCCAAATATGTGCTCATTGAAGAAATTTATGTCAAAATGTCAAGTTGATTGAATACTTATATTCAAGAAACAAAGAATCGGCTTACAACTTCTTTAAAAAATCGATTTTTTTTTTAAATAAATGATGCGAAGTCTTTAAACGTTTTGAAAAATAGGTATTATGTCATAGCTACTTCAATTGATCTAAGATATAAGTTTTCTTTCTTTGAGGATGATATCAAAAAACAGGCTAAGTACTGGTTAATAAATGAAATTTTATCCTTTGAAAAAACTCTTGTTTGTTCTGAAGAAGTAGATTTTAGTGTAAACGAAGAACCATCACAATTAAATTTTTCAATTAATACTGAAAAAGAAGACACTCTTGAAGCATGTTTCAAAGAAATTATAAATGCAACATCTGAAAAAACATTACCTTTTAAAAAATTAAAGTTAGAGAAAAAATCAAATGAGATTTTGATTAGAAAAGAAATAAAAAAGTTTTATTCTGAACCACTTGTAGACAGAAAACTTTGTCCAATAAAGACCTGGATGCAAGAAGAACGATTCCCTCTTTTAAAAACAATTGCTTCAAAACATCTATGCACTCCTGCATCATCCATGTTTTCTGAAAGATTGTTCTCAGAATATGGTAATATCTATGAGAAAAAGAAATCTAGGTTATTGCCTAAAACAGGAGAAATGCTTTTGTTTATTCACCATAATGGGAGGAAAATAGAATGACTCTTTGCATTTACTCATTTGTTGAAATTTTATTTGTTATGTTCTTTGATAGTATTATTAACTTTCTAAAACATTTTGTTTCATTGAATTTAATAATTTGATTTAAGAGGCAATCATAAAGTATGTATGCAGGTATGGGAGGCGACATTATCTAAAAATGTTTAAATATGATCTAAAAGTGTACAAGTGTGTATAAGGGGTAGGGACAAGAGGGCAAATATGCAAAGTAAGGGCAAGGTCCAGGCAGCAAATATGTACATGGTTGGGTCATCTTTTTCATGAATTTTACTCCAAAATTTTTTTCAAAATTTTTATTTTAAGACAATTTATTGAGTGAAAAAATCTATAACAAAACATCGAAAAAGAAAAAAAAAAAAAAGTTTATGATGAAATTTCAAAAAAATATAATAAAAGCAAAAAAAAAATTTTTTTGATTATTTTGTTAGAAAATTTTTTTGCAAAACAAATTCTTTAAATTCTCAATTTCGATCATTTTAAATCTTAAAAAAATTGTTGGAAAGTTATGACTGTGTTTTTACCCCTCTCCAAATTGAAGGTTTAATAAATTAAACATGGTCATAACTTTGGAACATAAATTAATTGATGAAATTTAAAACCTATTGATGAATTTAGCTAGAGTATTAAATAGTGTAATGAAATAACTAAATGATTTCCCTTGCATTTGGGATAGGTGGTTGAGAAAATAACCTCTAAGGTTATTTTTGTTCCCAAGCTCTAATTACCATGATTTTTTGATGCAAAACACTTTCATTCTATGGAAGCATAAAAAACTTAAGTTTAGAGTTTGCACAAAGCTTGATAATGTCATATCTGAGACTTTTAAAAATATCATATTAGAGCCCATTTAGCAGCGTGTCGGTAAACCATTTTGATTTAGAGTTCTCAAAATTAAATTTCTACTTAAAAGATAAATTACCCTCCCCTAAAAAAATGTATTTATTAAATAATTCTTAACAGTTTTTCAAACGTCTTTGTGCTCTGGAAAGTTTAAATTGAAGATAGGCTTGTGACCATTAATTGATCATAAGTGGTCGTAAGATTGTGATCATTAAGTGATACGTAATTACAATAGCGATCATTAAAACATTTAACGTTCGCTGTTCGGAATCAAATTTTTAGTTGAAGACTTGTTCAAACGCTCTTCATAATAACACCAGAACTTAACAGCATAAAGTATTATCCGGTATATCCGGCCGGATATAGTATATATCTGGCCGGATACCTGATAGTAAATTATCCTGTATTTTTAACCGGATATCCGGCCGGATATCGTATCCGGTACACCTCTAATACTTAGCAAAAAAAGAAACTCTTTTAGACGTTTAAACGTGTTTTACATGTGTTTAAAACGTCTTTTACACATCGTGAATTTACTTATTAGAAAAATCTTTAACATTTATTTTTAACACTAGACGTTTAATACTGTTTTAAGTTCAAAATGCATAAACAATTTAATATTTTTTTAAACAATAACAATTTAAATTGTGATAAATTAAAGGCTTCAAAAATACTCTTAAATTTTTTTAACTAAATAAACTGTGGCGGAGTGGCTGAATATATATCATCAGTCAAGCAAATAATTAAAGGTGAGTTTCCACTCATCCGTTTTTTTCACGGGAACGGGAAAGGGACGGGAAAAATAATCACGTGGGCATGCGTAGTATAAGTTTTAATATGTCTGAAGGAAAACTACGCATGCTCACGTAATTATTTTTTCCTTTCCTATCCCGTTCTCGTAAAAAAACGGATGAGTGGAAACTCACCTTAAGAGACCCTCCCAGCAAAACCCTATTGCTAAGACGGTCCGGTTCGCATACTTTCAAAAAAATAGGCCATAATATGAAAATTGAAATCACAAACTAATCGTTTTATAATTAGTTGAAAAAATATAGTGGTATGCGATATAGTTTTTTGCACTTTTTTAATTTTCTTCAAAAAATGAAAATACACTGTGTAAATACCTGTTCTCCATCGATATACTAGCTTGCTTTGAAAATTTTAATTGGAACATTTTTTTATAATTTAAATAACATTCATTTTTTACCTATATATGCTAACAAAAGTATGTAAAAAATATGTTATTTTGTATAATTACTGTTTTTTATTATTAGTTTTATTAACTTCTATTTGGGATAATTAACATAAAAAAGTTTGACAAATAACGCATGTTTGCATTTCAAATTCTGAAATGCAAACATGCGTTATGCGTTTATTCTTATTTGGTTGAATGCGTTTATTCTAATTTTATTCTAAAAGGATGCCATAATAAACCTGCGTTTTATTCTGGCATTGCATTTATGCTTTCAACCAAATTAGCTTTACTAAGTCACAGTTTACAAAAGGAGAAAAAAAAAACAGCTTTCACAGGTAACAAGTTCACAAAGATTAGTATTTTCATCTACTAAAACAGAAAGTGGTTTATCTTTAATTTTGCTTAAGTTAGGAACCTCGTGCTCCAACAATCAATATCCCATTTCTCATTTATTAATTTTACTACTTAGAATAAATTGAAGTCATTTAATACTGAATGTTCAACAAGACTGAATTTTAAAAACCCTGGAGCATAAAATATAAAAATCATTAGGTTCAACAAGACTGAATTTTAAAAACCCTGGAGCATAAAATATAAAAATCATTAGGTTCAACAAGACTGAATTTTAAAAACCCTGGAACATAAAATATAAAAATCATTAGACAAACTCTAATGACTAGAACCTGCTATCTTAATTTATAACTTGTAATGACAATTCCAAAGCCATATAATATAATGCATCTATTATGAGTCTAGCTTCAAGACGGGCACTTGGTTGATGAATCCTAATGTTTTTTAGCTTGTCAAACTGAATATTAAGATAGAATCCTAAGTATTCCACAAGATGTCTATAATCTTTTAAAGGGGAAAATCTCAATTTCAAGAAAAAATTTAATATGACATACAGATGTCATCTGATGTCAAATTTAATATGACATCAGATATACTTGGAGGTAAAGACATCCCTCATGTCATCTGATGAATTCCAAAACCAATTATGAGAGCATTCTCATCAAACATTTTAAGAATAGAAGAGGCGCCACAAGTAGATAAAAATGGGACAATATTTTACCATTGCTTTTTAAAGTTAAAGTAAAGGACCCTTGATGTGTTCTCTAGTTATTGATTTGTAAATATGTTTAATTTATATTTCATGTATGTGATGCCAACATAATAGCCATAATAAAGGTTTCTAAAATACTCTTGTCAATATTATAATTTCATTCACTTTCATACCAGAGGAGTTATAGCTGCAATTAGGCTATTTCAAGTAATTTCTTTATTGACAAGGATTGAATCGGATCGAAGCATGAGTGGTACATCGTTTATTTTCTTTTTTTTAGCGTTGTTTGATGTTTTTTGCAGATATTTACATTTTATTCTATAAAGTAAGATACAACGCATGTAACATGTTACATACTTTTATTATGAAAAAACTAAATTGTATATTGTTAACAATATTCAATTTAGTTTTTTCATAATAAAAGTTAGTTGATTCAAATACCAATTTTATCTAATTTAAATAATTTCTGTTTACTCTCTCTCTTTTTTTTTTTTTTTTTTTATTTTTAGGTGCCCCAAGAAGTCCTTGCGGTCTTATCACGGAGCACCGCGGAAAAGCATTTAATAGGAAGTTCACGCCTCCTTCCCAACCGATGTCGCAAAACTTGCCCAGAGGTAGGGTTTAAATCGCGGATCTTACGTTTTTGAGGCAAGTGCGCTACCACTGCGCCACGGCTGCTCCACTGCGCCACGCGCTACGGTACGCGACACTGCGCTCTGCGCCACGGCTGCTCCACTGCGCCACGGCTGCTTTATATTTTGACAAATCTTTTATGAGCTTATGTCGGGTTTTCTAATGTCCAAAAGAGTCTCCATGATTAAGGTGGCTTGACAGGAAATGGTTTTTTTTAGTAAAATAACTTAAATCATTTCTAAAATCAGTTCTATAAATTTTATTTAATGAAACTAATAACAAAATATAAAAGTTTATTAAAAAAAAATATGCATTAATAATTTTGTGCGTTTTTTAATAAAAAATACAATAAAAAGCATTTTTTTATTTTAGTTTTCAAAACAGGATTATTCCAAAATGGCTAATTAAAACAACTCGATACTTTGTAATATTATTTTCTGATATATGAGGTAGAGGATGAACTAAGATAATTATATAAAAACAAAAATATTTCGTTAAAGTCCCAAAAAACTGAAAATTGACTAATTTCTAGGAAGGTAAGGTTCAAAAAAGACTTAGTAATTGATAAATATTCATTCAACTA